GATGAGGTATTATAAGTGTCGGAGTCGTGTCGTTCGATTGTACCGAAGGAAAATCGATGTAGATAGGACTTCCCTCTAAATACGCTGCTTCGAGGCGATCGATGCTGATGCTATCGTTGGTTCCGTTCTTATCGACTATATAATACTTAGATTCACGTTGAAGAACTTTGAAGGATCCTTCGTATGCTGATTCGAATGGTCGTCGACGTACAAAGACGTGTGTACTATATCGTAAGTCAGGTAGAATGAAAACATCAGTTGATTGAGGTCGAGTGGAAACAGGTTCAACTGAACGCATTGCGTTTGCACGCCTGTTCGTGTAGGAGGTTAGATCCATGTTCATTGAAAAGGATGAAGGATCCCCGGATTCTCCTGAAGGTCAAAGTGTCGTTCCATAAACGAGTTGAGCCACAGTGTATCCAATGTCAGCCTTAACTGCAGTGCGGATACCTAGTAAGACGAGTGGAAGAGTGTCGGTCCACTGTGAAACGTGTGCAGCTGATAGCGAAGCTTTACGTTGTCGATGAAAACGTTCTACCAACCCATTTGCCTGTGGGTTGTAGGCAGTCGTTCGGAAACGAGTGATTCCTAAAAGTGTGATCAGACAACGGAAAAGTTCAGATTCGAACTGACGTTCGCGATCTGTAGTGATGGTTGAAGGGCAGCCGAAGTTTGTTACACATCGTTCGACGAAGGCGCGGGCCACTGTTTCAGCAGTGGTGTCCTTGATACGTACTGTTTCTGGCCACCGAGTGAAACGGTCTACGCAAGTTAAGAGGTAAGAGTATCCATTTGACTCTGGTAAAGGTCCTACCAAATCCAAACGAACATGGTCGAAACGAGCATCAGGAGTCTTAATTGAGCCTAAGGGACATTTATTGTGTCTGATAACCTAAGATTTTTGGCAGCTTACACAGGAGCGTGCCCACTCCCTCACGTCTTTATTCATACCAGTCCAGCAAAACCGTTCTGCTATAAGCTTGATGGTTGCACAAACACCTGGATGAGAAAGTCTGTGCGACGTATTGAAGACGTCGTGTCGATAATGTTTCGGCACGAATGGGCGATCCCTACTTGTAGATGTGCGACGAAGTAAGGTTTCCTTACCTGTTCCCATCTGTTTGATGCGTAACTTGAGAGTTGTAGACGATAACTTGTGCTGAAGATCAGTGTCTTCTTTTTGAAGCTGAAAGAGTTTCAGAAGGTCGATTCCTTGGAAACTGTTCAAGGAAGTTATTCGAGACGTCTGCGACTACATTGTTTGCTCCAGAAATATGTTGGATGTCTGAAGCAAACTGCGAAATGTAGTCCAGTTGTTGAGACTCACGAGGTGAGTACTTTTCTGAAGAGGAACTTAAAGAGAAAGAAAGAGGATTATGGCCAGTAAAAAGGGTGAGTTCACGACCTTCGATGTAGTGTTGAAAATGCCGTACAGTACAATACATTGCTAGGAGTTCCCTATCGAATGTGCTGTACCTCGATTCGGTGTCTAGCAACCGTCTAGAGAAAAATGCCAAAGGTTGCCAAGAGTTGTTAAGTCATTGTTGTAGGACTCCTCCGATTGCCGAGTCAGATGCGTCTACTGCGATTCTAATGGGTGCTTCGGTGTCCTGATGTGCGAGCATTGTTGCTTTAGCGATCAGTTCCTTAAATGTGGAGAATGATTTTCGTGCGGTGTTGTCCAAATCAATGGGTTTCGCGATTCCACGAAGTTGGTCGGTAACAGGTTTCATGAGTAACGCGCACTTCGACATGAATCGTCTATAGAAACTTACAAGGCCGTTAAACGTTCGTAATTGCTCGATGATGGTCGGTTCTGAGTAATTCAGAATGGTCGCCACTTTGGTCCTAAGGGGTCGGATACCTTGAGCATCAATAGTGTGTCCTAGGTAGTCTAAGGAGTCAGCTCCGATTTGGTATTTCAGAATGTTTACAGTAATTCCATGTTTTTGTAGTCGATCGAAAACAAGATCCAGATGCTTGAGATGCGATTCTCTGTCCAGACATGCGATTAGGCAGTCGTCATGTACGAAGTTGAGACCTCGAAAAACGTCGTCTATGAACCTTTGGAATGTTTGGGCAGCATTTCTTCTACCGAAGGGCATTCGCAAAAATTCATGGAGTCCGAAGGGAGCAATGATAGCTGTTTTCGGTATGTCGTCAGTAGCCATAGGGATTTGGTTATACGCTTTAACCAAGTCGATTTTCGAAAAGACAGTTGTACCTTTCAAGGTAGCTGTCAAATCGTGAATGTGAGGCAACGGGTAACAATCGGGATTGGTTTTCGCGTTCAATCGCCGATAGTCACCAGTTTGATGCCAATCGTTGCTGTCCTTTTTAGAGACCACGTGCAACGGAGATGCATATGGGCTACTTGACGGTCGTATGATTCCTAAGTCTATCATATGGTCGAATTCGTTTTTCGCTAACCTTAGCTTTTCGGGAGATAGTCGTCGTGCTTTAGAAAATACAGGTGGTCCTGTAGTCGTGATGCGTAACATTGCTGGTTACACACGGTAGTTTCGGTTGAGTTTGTTGTATCCCAGGGTACTTATCGAGTAGTGGTTGATAGAGTGGGTCTATCATATGCTTAACTGTGACTGGGTATAATCTGCAACCAGAAAAAGAATTACGCAAACGGACAAATTAGTGTTTCCGTCTACTAGCCTCCGTTCGCAAGTATCGATGATCAGATTATGGTGTTGTAGAAGGTCCATACCAATGATTGGCATAGAAACATCTGCAACAACGAAGATCCAGTGAATGGGTTTGCGTAAACCCACGTTAAGGTAAACGTGAGATGGAGCACGGTTTACGTTATTGTTGGTCACTGAAATCAGTGCTAAAGATAGCACAGGTATTCAGTGTTTGACAACACTTTAACCAGTAACACCTTCTAATATATCTCGTACCCACCAAGAGAAATCAAAAGACAGAATCGAGGAGATCAGAAGTTGTATTTGACGATTGCCAATATATCGGAATTGGTTGATCTAATCTGGATAGCGATTGCGGTAGATGTTGAGCACGGCGTTCCCACACGTGATCTGGTGCGGATGCCTGACCGAGCGCCTTCTGCTAGGTGAACTCATCAAAACTAATGTGGTCAGCATCCAATGTCGAAAACTTACAGAGCTATTTATTTTGGGGATTTATTTGCCGCTACAGTGCATTTGGTCCGTAAAGTGTGATCACAATTTCGACCAAAATCTACAACACCTAATGATGAAAGATACAAAACTCTAATGCAGATTTTCTTATTATCATATCCGTTTCACCTTTCGTTGCTACAATCCGGTCTTCTCACACCATATCGATTTACTAATTAATTAACTTATTTAACTATTTATTTCTTAAAACAGTAGTTTTCTCTGAGCGTTCGGACTATCACTTTGTAATTTTTCACACTGCAATCAATCTTCTGCCTGGTTGATGGTAGCCAGAGTCCTTACTGCCCTGAGACACATGTACTCACTCAAATCGGAAGGTATACAAATCCACAAATTACTACCAAACTGACTAGAATTTGTGCTGTCAAGTGGCTATAATAACATCCACTGAACATCAGGAAGTACCTGAAACTGTGCCAAAACAACAAGAGGCGACCACAAAATAATCAGTCACTTATATAAGCTCATGATGATGACATTGAATAGGAACAGAAGCGAAATTTATTTCATTAGAGTTCCGACGGTGCAAACGAGTATCCGTGCACCTACACAAATAAGAACCTTGTCACACAACTCAAATTCAGATATCAAAGAACGATCTTTTCACCATATCTGCTGATTAAATTTTGGGAGTTGTTTAAGTTTGTGCCTTCGGCTCAAGGGCATTCGGGCATGTCTGGATTCTAATATTGTTGACTTGTGTTGTCAGTGATTGTTGTCTATTGCTTTCTGTAGTAAATGTAAGTGCATTTGATGGGTCATCGACCTGCATTTTCTTCCATCTTTTCTAGCTCTCACGCTACTTTGCTTGTTTCGTTAGTCCACACAGTACCTTCTGGTTAGACTCAAACCGTTACAATAGCCTGTGAGTTGCAATGCATTCAAGATCTTACACACATCCTTCATGCTTTCTCAGTTAGGTTGCTTTCTATTGTTTGTATTCGTGGTACATGCTATCGTGGATGCTTTGTTTGATACAACGCAACCACTAACTAAATACAAGCATTTTAAAGATTATAGACAACATAGCGACAGTTCTATCTTTCTAAAACTTATACCAACTGACAGGTCTTGGGAAGTACGGTTAGGTAGTAAGAAAATTCATGATTCAGGCGCAGAAAACCGTAAGCAAACCGATGTCTACTGACATTTCGTGATATATTTACGTTATTCTGTCAGTAGTCATGTTCGCAATTCATTGACTATTTGTGGTACATAGTGTAACATCACAATCTCCCAAGTTTGGGGAATTCTGGGTAAGTTTTGGGAAACCTCCAAAGTCAGATGACCAAGGCTAAGGGGGGAAATGGTGGGAAATTTTCGCAGGTCTGGCGAAATGTGGTTTTTGTACCATTTCCCCAAAATTTCCTTAAAGTTTACTACAGCGGCTTCCCCAGAATGGGTCAAATTTTCTCCGAAATTGGAAGTTTGAGATATTTTGGCTTCCCATAAATGACATTATTATGCTTCATTTCCTTCTTGTTCATCTGTTCTGTGAAAAATTGTTTGATGGAATCAGGTTGTACTTTTTAAAGCAGGTGAAAACACATCGCACACGTTCAAACATGCAAGTATTGTTTTTGCAGTCATTTGATAAGTAGTTGGCACTCATTTTTATTATTTCAACAAACTAGTTGTTTTCTGTTAATTCAACATAGTTATGCATGTGTTGCATTGTTTGAAATTCTTGTTTTTAAATGTGTCTTGGATCAACAATTTAGTCTCGCTTTTGAGCCTTCTACATTTACTTTGCCTGAGCAGTTTTGTCCTCCGTTTTAGGTCAGAAAGATAAGGATTCCATTTGCAAAACTTGGAAAATTGTTCGGCGTAATGGAAGTCATAACTATACCCGCCTTGTCGGATAACTACATGTATGTAGTTATCGACAGAGCATCAAATGTAAGTTGGATGTTTTTTATTGTATATTCCACCTAAAAACACATTTTCGATTTGAGGATTACCATCTTCAGCTATTAGAAATTTCAGTGTTATTGAGTCTTGATTTAGTGATCTCAATCAAACTATTGAGTCAACCGACCTATTGCATTCAGGTTTGTATCTGTAGTTACTTTTGGCCTGGTACTCAAGTCGTTTGTTCATGAGTATAGATAGTTGTCTATTTTCAAATTCACTCTAGCGTTTACCATAGATAGTAATTAGTGTCTTCGGAAATACTGGTTTTGCGCAACCTGTTCATCACTCAGTATGGTCTGACAATAAATCATCCGGTAATTCCAAATGAAAATTGACTTGAATGATACAAACTATAAAGAGAGAGAGAAAGAAGATGCATTTCCATGGTAGTCGGTGACCAACGATCGGTTCATACGCAGTTTGTTCCCTCAGGATCCTGGAGCTCATGTGCACCAATGGTTTGGAATCAGGGTTTTCCAACTCCTCTAGCTGGACCCTCCATAACCACCCACCAGGCTAAAGAGCCGGACATTCACTTTTCGTCCTCTCAATTTCGTAAACAACACCACCAAGAGAAGGCAGTTAGTAGGACTTTCCTGACAGTGACTGTATACGCGTGGTCATGTGAAAGGATTTCGAGAGAGAGAGGGGGAACAGGCTCTCCCCATCCTTGGCCGTATCAGGGCGTTCAGGGGGCTCTTTATGGGATAGTAACTCAACGTTACCCTACTTATCATTGTATGCAGTTTTTTGGTAACTATAAAACATTCCCAGCTAGGATTGTAAATATTGCATCGTTTCCTCATTTTGTGGGGATAGTCTACATTCACTCATTATGTTGTCCTACTAATTCAGACGTACTAAGGCAACTTACGAGGTTTCTTCTATTTGAATTTAAACGTTAGTTGACCGAATTCCCCATCATAGTTCGAGAATATCCTGTAGTTTTAATTATTTAGCACAAATTTAAAAAATATCTAACATTTTTTGTGTATAATCTAACACAAGATATGCGCAGTTGTGGATCCAGTGGAACCTGATAAGATTTTGAGTGCAGTCACGCAACGCGGTTTGCGACTTGAATCTATATTGACAACTCATCATCACTCGGACCACGCTGGAGGAAACCTTGACCTTGTAACTAAATGCAGGAAACAAGGCTTAGAGGGAGTAAAGGTGTATGGAGGAGATGATCGTATTAGTGGTTTGACTGATACTGTGTCTCACGGACATAAAATAAAGATTGGTAGCAACCTCAATGTTTGTTGCTTGGCTACACCATGTCATACTACTGGTCATATATGCTATCTGGTTACCGAAGAAAACAGTACCAAAGAAGGGGTGGTATTTACTGGCGACACGTTGTTCCTTGGAGGTTGTGGAAGATTTTTTGAAGGGACCGCTGAACAAATGTAAGTCAATGTAACTTTTGGCCATCTGTACCTCAAACTGGTTGAGATTAAAACTACTAAGTCCCAATTCTGGCTAAGTAGCCAACTCGTTAGTGAGAAGTTTAAAGCTCTCAAACTCAGTCTCGTGTAAAGTAACCCTTCCACTGTGTGGGAAACCAGGAAGTGATAACCACCCTCACACTTCTAAGAGCATTCGAGACCACCGTATTTCTCTCGTATAAAGTTAACGATGATCACTCGAGAAATCCCAAGTAAAATGAGGCTTTACTGTTTGGTCTAGTATTTTGTTAGCTGCGATCAACTTGCTATAAACACTACCTTCAGGTTGACCAGATCCTCAAAATCAAGTATTCAACCAGTCTCAATCAGCTTAGACTTCATTTCAGAGCAAGCAGTAACCCCGATTTCAAGTGCATAAACTTAGTGTATTCTGTCTTATAAGTCGCTGGTCCATTATGCTTTTATTTTCTCTGGTCATTTTGTCCATAAATGGTTTTTAAAACTGTCAGACTTGTTCACATCCTAGACATGCACTGTTACTCTAGGCAGTCAGAAGGTTGGGTTCTGTCACCGTCTTCACCAAACGTAACTGTCATCTGCGTATCCACAGGTCACAAGTAATTCTCCTAGTAGCTCAATTTCTAAAATGTCAAACCATGAGAGCGCTTTCTGCCAAATAGTGTCTATCAAAGCTGTGTAGATTTGAGAAAAGCGGGAAGCCCTTACGAAGCATACAACTTGTGGTTGGTAACTGCGATGACTGTTTCCCATAAATTGTAACTTGACCACTAATGTTTGAGGAGAGCGTGTATAAGGTTTATTTATTTCTCTGCCGATTTGCGAAGTGGAACTCCGCCTTAAGATCAGTAAATGCATCTTTGGTTGGAAGTCAGTAGATATGTCTGTATTCCAGGATCACGACCAGGTTTAAAGTCGTCTTTGTCTTCTCGGGATCGATCTTTACGAGTCGTAGTTAAGCGTTAGGTAATTGTTGAGGCTAATATTCCATACATTATGTTAGTCAAACTAACTTTTGTAGTTATCATAAAAGGGTTTCTGTCCTCATTAATCAAGAAAACCAGCTATCGAGACACCAGGTGAGATTACATCAAGTTTCCAGATTCTATATAATATCTATCAATCTAATTACTAAAACCGGACTCTCGTTCCTAGAGAGTAGTCCATCAGGACCTCTCATTTTAGATTCCCTATGGTCAGGTAGCTTATAATGTCGTCTCATTGAGGTTATTTATCAACCGTAGGAGACTGAAGTTCAGTTAAGCTGTTCTTGGAGGTACTATCCCCATCATTCCAATCTCACTTATGTTGAGTAAATCGTTACTCCATCTCCCGAGATATTTTGATTAACTTCCGAATCCCGAATATCTATTCATTTGACAAGTCCGAAAAGTTGTACATTGTTATCTATAGCTACAAACCTTTCCGCCTCTTTTTGCTAACGCTCTCAACACTACTGCACAGCGAAAGCAGGAAAGTTACACACCATTGCGCTGTTGTCTTTCACACTAAATAACTTTGTATTCAAATCTTTTTATCGTCACCGTGTTTTCTCATTGTTCGTATTTCAAAAAATTAAGCCTTAAAATATCATATACGTTTGTACAGCTTGATATTAAGTTCTTTGAAAGGTCTCTTCGCTGAATTTCGGTGTATCAGTGTTCTTTATTGAATTATTGGTATAAACGCAAATACTAGTTAAAAATGGAGAAGGGTGACCCTATGGATTCATATTTACTGGGTTGGGTTTTGAACCAATATTTTCAACATTTCTTAAGTTCCTGAGGATTACCATGGCTAAGTTAGTGTTTCCAATCACCAAGCGAGACAGCATCTTTTTTTTTAAAGTTGCTACGGCGGAACAAGTAGTGGTAAAATGTATTTAAATAAGAAGAGAGTTGAATAGTGGCTAACAGAGGAATCCGGGAGGCACGTTTCTTTCCATATGGGGTTCGATGATTGTTTGTGTCCACCCGTGTTTGTACTTACGCTGAGATTCAAACCCACTACATTTTACTTCAAGCAACCACTCAGCTATTAGGTCACAATAGGAGAGAACACATGTATTGTATTCTACTGCTAGCCATTGAACAACTCGGCTTAAAATCCTTGTGACTCCGTGATAATATTGAGTCAATCCGCTTAAGATACACATCCTAGAAGAAAGTGATCATTTGCAGTTCCTAACACCAATGAGAAGATTCACTCAATCTTCCCAAATATGATTTGAGCAGAAAGCTATAACGGCAAAAGCATCACGTCTTTAAAATGTTTGTACTCGATAGTCCGGAAATACTGAACAAAGTGGTCAGCATCAGTTCATTATTTGTTTTACCAGGGTAACTCATTTTTGTGTCGCATTGAGAAATACCTTTATATATATTTTGGATTTTAATGTAGGTTTAAAGCACTTATTGAGGTTCTTTCCAAGTTACCAACAACAACGAAAGTCTATTGTGGGCACGAATATACTGTAAAAAATCTTGAATTTGGCTTAACTGTTGAGCCAAAAAATGACGCGCTTAAACACCGGTTAGAAGCTGTAAAACGTTTACGTGCGTCTAATCAAGCAAGTGTTCCCGGTACAATCGGAGAGGAATTAGCAACCAATCCTTTCATGCGTGTTTGTGAACCAGATGTGCTCGCACATGCGAAAACTACCGATCCCATAAAAGCCATGAAAACAATTCGCGAAGAAAAAGATCACTTTTAGATTTGAAACTGATTTGTCTTACGATAACAGCGATATATTGCAATTTCCTCAACGAAGTCAGTATGTCTTTTTATATTTTCGAACATTTAATATGCTTATCTTGACCCTGAACATTGATAAAACATATTAAATAAATAAATAAAATTGGTACTAATGAGTTGTTTGTTTTGTGGTTAAATTTAGGGATTTACATTGTCCTGGTTTCGATGACCAATGATATGTTGTGCTTCAGTCCTCTAATACACTTAAAACCTCTGATCTTATAATACTTTGTTTTGTTATTGTTGCAGAATGTGTTCATGTACGCGTAGGAACTAATAAATTTGTAATTACCCTAGAGATTCACGTCGGAAATGTTTTTTGTCATTGCTTGCCATATTGTAAGTTGTTACTAGTTGTATAGGAATGAAATTCCAGTTGTATATCTAACTACTCTGTTTTGTATTAAGTCGATAAAAGCCACTGGTGATTTGTTTAGTCTCTTACCAACCATATTACTTAGCTATTATTAATGTCTCAGCAATTTACCATGGAATCTAACCCTAGCTACACTTTTTTGAGTGTTTTTGTGAACTCTATCCATTACATAATGGCCTCCCAAACCCGCAGTTAGACCAACATGATTATATAGATAAACTACTAGGGCATAGCCTTTAAATTTTGGTAGATAAACAGCGGGAGTATTTGTACTACAAAGTTGTGTAATTAATGTTTAATTGATTTGTTTTGGACAGGTAAAATTAACATTGATGAGTTCAGAGAGCTATGAAGATTAATTAGAGGAATACAGGCTAATCCACTCAATAATGAAAATCAAATACTCTTAGTTTGTTTTTCTCCTGTTCGTAACATGTGGAGTGCGGCAGCATCGAGATCTGAATCTATGAAAACGTGTTTATTTACGTACTTCTTGGTGGTCACGTATTGTCTCGTATTTGCCGGCGTAGACTTCTATTGTATAATTCTATTTGCTTAATATGATTACTTTTGCTCCTTTCTGAACAGATCTTTTCCTTAGCTCATTGATGATGATAGTGAGTGGTATCGAAGATGTTATATGGTTAGTGAATTTTCGTACACGCAGCAAATTAGTTATCAAGTGTACTTAACTTGATTCAATATTTAAAGACATCGTTTCCTCAGCTTTCCGAACAGTGTAATATAGTTACATTTCACTGTTTCGTAGTTTCAGTATGGTGTTTGGTATATTGACCCTAAATCAACATTGCAGTCAATTTATTGTTGATCGGTGTCACCTTTGTGGGATGTATACTCGTGGTCGCTTCGCTTGGTGTTAATGGGTAGTTGTGCGGCATGTTCATGTGCATTATAGATGCAGATAGCTTAATAAATATTAATAAAAAACCCAATAGAAATGTCATCATATTAGATTATGTCGTGTAGATAACAACAAGAGATCATATGTGTGAAAATAAAAAGCGTTGTCAAATTAATAGGTTAGGTTAGCAGCGGATTATAATGTGGTTGCAGTTAGTTAACTAAAATGTTTCCGTTACAGTATTTCAAAGTTATAGATGGGTCAAATCAAATGATTTCAGAAACAATTATGAATGAAATCATGAGAATATGAGAAATAATTAAACAGTGGGATATTTTCAAATACGAAGTATAATAATGGTGGTTTAAGTTCATGATAAAGATATAAGACGTACTTTTGTACGCACAGTTCTGGAAGTCCTCACGGATGGCAAGAGTTAGTGTTTTAGGGAGTTGGATACGAAGAAATCTGGGTAGTTTGGACATAGTATAAACAACCTTAAGATCAACATATGGATCAGTGGAGTGAATGTGTTCGGTTAGATATTCAATTATGCAACTCCTAGTTGCTTCCCTCTCACGATTGTAGAACCACATTGGGATATGTCCTCGTATCCGCGTTGGGAAAAGGCGCTGGCTGTGGCGTATGTACCTTTCTCCACGACGACGGATGAACATACAGGTGATCAAACGAGGAAGCTTATACTTCACGGATACAGAAAAGTAGTGAACGTTTGTCGCAGCTTTGCTGCTCAGGACGTTCTTTTTATCACTGCCGCTAACCGATTTTTAATTACACCAGAAGTTTGGTCACCTTTAACTTGCAGATTCACATAAAGATATTTCTTTGACACGGAATTGCCGTATCCCTCGTTCGGATTTCATTTTATAATCTATATAAAGCGACTTGTATATCCGTTTTCAGCCAAAGTTTTCCTGGAGAATGCAAGTTAGTTAGCATTCTTAATACTGTCAAATTGTAGAGTATCATGAACAGAATACTTAAGTTCTTGCCTTATAACCGCCTCCAATTTTTCAGCCAGCGACTGGGTGTTAGGCTAAATTAGACGTATCCAAAACAGGTCGTAACAGTAATCCGGGTTTATTTACTTTCGGCAATTCACATAAGCGCGGGATGATGATCGGACCCACTGGACATACGTGATTATACAAGTCCTGGGTTATTATTTCCATATTCAAATTTTTAACATCAGTTAGCTGTTTTCAATTCGTAAGTTTTGAAAATTTAGTACCATTCTTTAGGATTGAAAGCATCTTGTTTAGGTAATCTTGAAGATCAGGAAGTACCATACCAGATCCTTTTTCAGGTCTACTTAGGACTCAGTCCTTATCTCTTTACAGGAGGATCTGCTGATCTATATAAATTTTGGTTAATAAGTCATTATGACCATTTTGTGTTAATGCATCCATGACAGCAACCAAGTACCATGGCTGCGAAATTATTGTGATGTTGGAATGAGATCATAAGTTTGATTTACTAGGTTTTCAAGTTGTATTTGCGTATGAGGTCTACTGGTTTTTACAGAATTTGGAGCCCACTGATAAGACCTGTATTTGGTTTGACGAAAGTGTGATTAAACATGTATTTTCCGGAATTTCTTTGAAAATTGTCATTTACATCTACATGTTTTAAATATTTGAGTTTAGCAATGTGGGATTGCTCTTCAGTGACAGTAAAAACAATCCCCAAATTGTTTACATTCATCTAACGATCCATATGATGAGTGACTTATTAAAGATATGTTGCATTCTATTCCAACTAGTCGGGATTTAATAGCATCGATACGACTAATTGTATGATGTTCGAGGATTTTCGCCTTAGTCTCCTTCCACAAACGGTGATGAAACTCACTACTTCACTAACGCAACTTTGGCGGTGTGTCCTAAAAGCCCACTGAGTTCTTTTATCGTCTTAGGATTTCTTCAATAGACATTTAATTCCCAATAAAACATTAAAAATACGAAGTTCAGATAAGGGATCACTTTGTTATAACTTGTCAATTGAATGCTACTTGTTATATCTGGTCGTCGCTGATTGTTGGTTCGGAAAAGCTTATCACATACTCGATATGAGGGAACTCGGCAATTCCCACGATGCGAAAGTAAGGACGCAAAGACTGGTATAGGTGAAGATTTATTGACCCCAAAACACGACGACGATAATCAAAAATACACTCGTTTATATATTGATTGTGCATACAATTTGAATAATAATTAGGATGGAATCATATATATGGAAAATACTTAGTTATAACATATCATATACTGAGCATAGTTCATGTCAATTGAATACAAGTATATCGTATATTATACAGAATAAAATATCGTACGAGAAAAGCAAAACAATTACTACACCGAATAATTACCACACTGAATCAAAACGGAAGTAATGTTGAGCAAAACCAATCGAATCTTGACTTTTCTTCCCATCATATCACTTTTCAAATAATTCGTAATAACAACATTTTAATTATCTTATTACGACCACATTACAATCCGTTGCTAACTTTAATTTAACAAGGCTTTTTATTTGCAAATATACGATCTTTAATCGTTATCATTCACACTAACCTAATATTGTAACCACTCTATTGTATCATGTTTATATATCATCACGGAATTATCAACTATTAAACAAGTAAAACAGTACGAGATATAATTTAGATATCTGTTATTAGTGACTAAGTATCAGGTGGCCTGGGAATTTGATTGTTATCCAGTGAATGTTGTAATCATTCTCTTGATTAGTGAAATTTGGGTACAGGATTTAGATTAAGCATTTTAGGGGTTGATGTTCACTATTGCTTGATAATAAAAAAAAAGCTAATGTAAAAACAACTCTTCGCTAATATGGAAATCTCATCCTATAGCTAGGAATATTACCTAGTTAAGTTGCTTTAAACTGTCCCTAGCCATAATTTACAGATATAATTTAAGACGAAGTGACTTACATCGTTTGGGACAGAACTATTGCAGTGACTTCACTACTTCTCTCACGAGTACTAACTTCTTTGGTGTAAGCGGATCAAACGCTTCAAAGTAAGACGAAGTATCTGTGTACTGTTTTGCACAAAAGTGGGCAATTATTTACGGTTAAATTGTTTTAGTATGTATATTCCAAGCTTTTACGCCTTCATTGTAATTAGGAAGTTCCGTATTATTGTACAAGCTAATTAACGTATGTCATATGGTGACGTTTATGGGATTGATGTTCACAAAATGTCAAATGAACCTTTTCAAAACACAAGGGCTTTCTGTATTTGAGACCTCTTTTTTCACTCCTTTTTACCAAGCAAAAATGTTACAAAGTGGTATCAGGTACTTTGATCTAGTTAGTTATAAGTGGCTTTTGTTTTTAATGGGATGTGATTCCATACTAGTGAGCCATACTATAAGCTTCTGCGTGCATAGAAACACACACAACAGACTAAAATCATTTATATTGGAGAACCTGGATATGTACCTAGCCTTTCTTAGCTGTACATAATCTAAGATCTTTATATGAGATTCAGGAGTAAAAAATTCATTATATAGTATATTTTCGATATCTAATAAGCAAGCACTCCTAAAAGAATTAAGGAACACAACAGACCTACACTTCCTTTTCATCAAATAAGAATGATTGCCACAGATAAGCCCAAGGTGAAACATGAATGAGTACATAACAAATGAGGACTGCCGAATAAGTCTGACTACTTTGA